TTGACCGCCTCCGCTGCGCGTGCAAATGCTCCGCCCGCCAGCCCGCGACTTGGTTTGCAAAACCCATGCGGCGGCGATTGCGACATGCGCTTGGCGCTGGCTGGCGCATCTCCGCGGCCGCGCCAGCCCGGCCCGAGCGTGCGCGCGCGCGGGGGCCAGCCAGTTTGGCGCCGCCGACGCGGCCGCGGCGGCGCTGACCGCTGGGCGCGCCCCAGCGGGCACTTCAGTGCGAGTCGGCGACGCGGGCGGACGCGGTATAATGGCAGCGCCGACTGCGGTATACGCGATGGTGGCAGCGGCGTAGCTGGCGGCGATGTTCGCAGACGAAGACGCGGCCAGTGCGGCGCCAGTGCTGACCGCGCCGACGACGATGAAGGCGTCCTCGCGTCGGTGATGATGGTTTGGGAAAGAGTTCGACGTGCGTGCGCGGCCGACGCGCGAGAGTGGCCCGCGCGGCGTTATTTGACGCGGGTCGCGCTCCTTGCCCGCCCCCCCCAGCACGCGCGCAAAGGCGTGCATATCTATATATATATGTCATATACTCCCACAAACTGATGATGTGAAAATTTCTGTTGTTGTTTGACATTCGGCTTTGAAGCCGTTGTGGAGTCGAAGGTGTTTGAAGAATTTCGGCGCGGGCGACGACGCGCGCGTGTAAAATGCCCCCCCGGCGGCGCGCGCGCGCAGGCGCTCGCGCGATTTCGACCTGCGCGCGCGGAGCCCGCGTGGTAGCATGTTCTGAGCACGTTGAAAACACTTAATGTTTTCTGCAGTATTAGCAAGGACGCGCGCGCATTGCTTTGAGCGCCCGCGTTGCGAAACCATTTTTTAAACATCAATTTTGCGATCGTCCCGACGCTGAAGGTTTTCGAAGGATGCCGGCATGCGCGCGCGACGACGCGCGCGCGCGTGCATCTTTTTTTTGTTTCTTGTTTTTTCAGCGAGGGAGTCTCGCAACACGTAGTTTTGGATAAACGAGCGCGCGCGTAATTTTTTGGTTCAACTTTAGGATGGATGACAGGTAGAACCACGTGTAAATTGCAATGCGATAAAGTCGGCCCACGAAGCCGGGGGGGGTCCTAATTATTTGTTAGAGAGGGGAACCCATGTGGTGGAAGATATGTTGTGCCATGTATGCTGCGCAATTGAGGTTGTTCCACGTGCGTGGTGCGGTGCGTGTGGTGCACTGCGTGTAGTGCAATGCGCGGCGCAAGCCGTGTTGTGCAATCTCGCCAGTGCAATATGTATATGTATACATATATATACATATATATTTATCGCCGCGCGTAGCGGACGACTCGTTGGGGCAGCGGCGGGCCCCGAGGCCCCGCGATGATATATATATTATATATATATATATATTATATGTATATATATATATATATATATATATATATATGTGCGATCTCTGAGGCGCGCTGCGTGCTGTGCAATCTTTGTGGAGCAAACTAGGTGGTGCAATTGATTTGTTGCGAGCGAATTGACGCAGCCCATGCTCTGCAAACGCCCCGCCCACCCACCCGCAATTCAGTTTGCAAGACCCGCGCGGCGGCGATTGCAATGAGTGCCCGGCGTTGGCTGGTGCGCTGCTGCGGCCGCGCCAACCCGGGCGCGCGTGCGCAGCGGCCAGCTAGTTTGGCGCGACCGGAACGGCCGCGGCGGCGACGACCGCTGGGCGCATCCCAGCGGGCACTTCAGTGCGAGTCGGCGACGTGGGCGGGCGCGGTATTAGGGCAACGCCGACTGCGGTAGACGCGACGATGATAGCGGCGATGCTGGCGACGATCTCGACAACGACGACGGCGTGGCCAGCGCGGGCGCCGATGCTGATCGCGCCGACGACGACGACGGCGCCCTCGCGTCGGCGGTGAAGGTCCGGGGAAGAGTTCGACGTGCGCGCGCGGCCGACGCGCGAGAGTGGCCCGCGTGGTGTTATTTGACGCGGATCGCGCCCCCTCCAGCACTCGCGCAAGGGCGCGCGAATGATTCCGACGTGCGCGCGCGGGGCGCCTACTTGGCAGCATGTCATGAAAATGATGAAATGACGACTGTTTTCCTAAGAATTCGCAAGAACGCGCGCGCTGAACAAAAAATGATTGAATCCGCATTGCGAGACCCTGTGTGTTTATGTCTCTTGGACACTCGGCAGTGCAATCCTTGCGATACCGGCAGTTTGTGAAGGTTTCAGCATGCGCGCGCGACGACGCGCGCGCGCGCGTCGCCCCACTTTCTCCATCGGATTTTCGAATACCCGTGACATTTGATAAACGAGCGTGCGCGCATATATCTTTTTGCAGAGGATGGCGAGGGGGGGCGATGCCAGCTCGGCTCGGATGGCGCGATATGTAGAATGCTTGATGGGGCAAACCGCATGTAAATTGCGACGCGAAAAGGTGAATCGATAATCCTGGGGAAGTGGGGGGAGGGGTGGTGGTGGTCGAGTCTATGCTGTTTTAAACTATGTGGTGCAATAAACGTTGTGAAAGGAATTTCTGCTCGCAGTGAGTTGTCCACTCCACTGCTCGCGCAGGCGTCCCGCCCGCCCGCCCGCAACTTGGTTTGCAAACCTCATGCGGTGGCGGTTGCGATGAGTGGTCGGCGCTGGCTGGTGCAGCTCTGCGGCCGCGCTAGCCCGCGCGTGCTCGCGCGCGCAGCGGCCAGCTAGTTTGGCGCGAACGACGCGAACGCGGTGGCGCTGACCGCTCGGCGCACCCCAGCGGGCACTTCAGTGCGATTTGGCGACTTGGGCGGGCGCGGTACCATGACAACGCCGACTGCGGTAGACACGACGATGATAGCAGCGATGCTGGTGACGACGCTGACAGCGACGACGGGGCAGCCAGTCACGGCGCCGATGCTCATCGCGCCAAAGACGATGACGGTGTGTTCGCGTCGACGATGAAGGTTTTGGAAGGATTTCGAAACGCGCGCGCGGCAGACGCGCGAATTGTTTGTTTTGTGTTCCTTCTTTATGTGTGTCTTTCTTTCTTTCTTTTTGAAGGATTTCGGCATGCGCGCGACGACGCGCGCGCGCACTTCGTTGCATTTTTTGCAATGGATTTTTGAGCACTTACGATTTTTGATGAACGAGTGTGCGCTCATATATATTTTTTGCAGAGGATGTTGGGGGGGCGCTGCCAGTTTGGCTGGGATAGTATGAATTCACGCGTAGGATGGGTCAGAATGATATACTATGCGAAAAAGGTGACTCCTTCTTAGCAAGGGGAATCTGTGGCATGTAAGTTACGTTGTGCAACCTAGGTGGTGCAAAATACGTGGTGCAATCTATGTGGCGCCACTATTTTCTATTCGCAATGAACTGTCAACTCCGCGCGGTAATTTTTAACCGGGGTGGATCGTGCCCCCCCCCAGCACGCGCGCAAGGGGCGTTCTTATGATTTCGACATGCGCGCGCGCGCGAGGGGCCCGATTGGTTGCATTTGATGGAAACGATGAAAAGCCATGGTTTTCGTGATAATGCGAAAGGGCGCGCGCACAGGTTTTATTGGGGGGGCGGGGGCGGGCAACAGTTATGTTGCAACACTTTTTTTGTGGTCGAGTGTTTCGGGACTCTCGATGATGACATTTTTGCGAAACCTACGGTTGTTGAAAGATTTCGGCATGCGCGCGCGACGGCGCGCGCGTGCACTTTGTCATTTGTTTCTGCAGCGGATTTTTGAACGTTGATGGTATTGGATAAACGAGCGTGCGCGCATAGTGTTTTTACAGAAGATGGGGGGGGTCGATCCTCGATGGGCCGGGACCGTATGATTCCTAATTTCGACTGACCGATTGGGGCGGGATCGTATCTCAATTGCACATCCCCAGGGTGAACTGTTAAATCCTCCATCGGGTGGTAGAATCTATTCTCTTCTAGAAAAAGAGAACCTTTGATATGATATTCATGTTGTGCGATCTGTGTGGTGCGCAATCTACTGCAACTTATGTGGTGACATCTATACGTTGTGCAATGTATGTGGTGTGGCGACGGGGCGGTGACGGCGGCAACGGGCGCGGCGACCGACAGACAGGCCCAGACGACTGTCGGCGACGAAGCGGCGACGGCAACAACATAGCCGCCAGACCGACAGACAGGCCCGGACGACGGGCGGCGACGAGGCGGCGACGTGGCAGCGATGGCGGCCACATAGCCGCCAGACCGAAGACGCCGCCGCCGCCGTCACCGCCGCCACCGCCGCCGCCGCCGATACCGCCATCGTCGTCGTCGCCGCCACCGTCGCCGCCGTCGTCGTCGTCGCCGTCGCCACCCTCGTCCTCGTCGTCGCCGCCTTTGTTGTCGTCGTCGTCGTCGCCGTTCCGCGCCTCCTGGTGCTCCGCTGGCGGCGCCTGCTGCAGCTCGGGCCAGTACTGCTGGGGGCTCAGCTCTGGCCAGTGCTGCTCGGGTGGCGGCGGGGGCCCCGCCTCGGCCAAGAGGAGGGGGGGGGGACCGCATGACCCCATGGAGCATAGCTTGACGGATCCCTATCCCCACTGGCGTGGCCTTGGTCCCATTGGCCGACTACCCCACCCAGATGGTGATAGACGTTCTCCGGCTCTGGGCCAGCTGGCCTCCCCCCCAAGTGGGATGGGTCCCAGGGCTCCGAGGGCTCCCCTGCCAACAGATGGGATGGGGGGGAGGGGGACGACGACGACGACGACGACGGACGACGAACGACGGACGACGGACGACGGACGACGGACGACAGACGGCGGACGACAGACGACGGATGACGGACGACAGACGGCGGACGACGACGGACGACGGGCGGACGAAGGTCGAGGGCTCACAGCCCCCCCCCCCCCAACAAAAAATGGGATGGGCCCCAGGGCTCCACAGCCTCCCCCAGATGGGATGAGGGGGAAGACGACGACGACGACGATGATGACGATGATGATGATGATGATGATGATGATGGTGATGATGGTGATGATGATGATGATGATGATGATGATGATGGTGGTGGTGATGATGATGAGGATGATTATGATGACGATTATGATGATGCCTTTGTGATTATACCGGTCCTATCACCCAGAAGTGAAACGTACTGTTGACTGAATACGATCGCTGCCTGGGTTTTCATGCTCGCACTCAGAGTTGGTCAAACCAGTGAAACTCCTAGAACGGATGCGCGGACACGCATTTCAGTGGTACACCAGCTAGTCGTCCACAAGTGTACACAGACAGGCCGAGCGCTCGCAAGAGACCAGTTTCTCAAGGAGCTGAATCAAAGCAGAAGCAGCAGCAGCAGCAGCCTCTGCCGTGGCACAGGTGGCCCCAGGAAGAAAATATCCCGCACCCTTCCAGGTTCTCCAAACCCCAGCTTGGGCCTCCACCTGGATGGTTCAGACCGAAGAGGCTTTGCAGCTCCTCTGGCCACCGTCATAGCTGCGGCGCAAGCTGGCGCAGGATTAGGTCGGGCGTGTCTCTACAGGCGGATTTTGGACGAAATATAAAAAATACCCTAAGATACTCCAAACATAAACAAAAGACGGCGAGTGAAATACGAAGTTAATTTGGCGTGGATTTTCTCTAATCTTCACTCCCGCCCCCCCAAAAAAAACCGCACGAAATTCACCTCGAAATCCGGAGCGAAATTCTCCAGGGCACTCCGGCAAAATCCTATCGTTTTCCGGACGAAATCCGCTCTGCGATGTTGGCGCCATGATCTCTGTACACATTTGGACGCCCGAAGTGAGTACGGAAAAAAGGGTACAATGCCCATCAACACATGTTGTCCCAAACCAACAGCGGCCGCTGTTGGGCAGGCGGCCTTCTGTCTCAAATGGAACCAGGCCGCGGCGGCGCGGACAGCGAGTCCTGTCCAAATTGAACAGGAACTGCTGTTGGGCATCGTACCCATTCTTTCCGTACCCATCCCGTTCGTGCCGAACACAAGCCTGACCAGGTATGGCCCTCTCTGCCCGGCCTGGCGCGTCCTGAGGTTCGCGGGCCGTGCAGCTCTTCCATTGCTCTGTACACTGGCGGTTGCAGGCGCGGATTCCGCACCGCCCGGCGCCCCAGCGCCCAAGTAACAGCACTGAGACAGCCCCCGGACATGTCACAGAGACAGCAAGGTCTCGAGGAGGAGGAGGCGAAGGGGGAGGGACGCCAGGAGAGGATAGGGGGAGGGGATGACACCCCGCGCGGCTCTTCGGACACTCTTAGTTTCTAGATGGCTAGATGGGACTGGCATGCTTTAGCACGATCCCGAAGCAAACGATGGCCGCCGAAACCTCGATTCTCCAGGTAATCGTATACAAATGTGTCACTGAGGCTGGTCCGCTCACACCCCTTAGCTAGTGACCTCCCATGTACTCCCAGAGATTTGGTAACATGCTCCTCCCACAATGAGATCCTCTTCCATCCTACTCTGTGCTGTCAGCGAGGTTCCTCGCGAGCGGCAGCGCTGTAGGCAATCGTTATTGCTTGCTTGGCCCTTGCTTCTAACTGCAGGTGCTTGGTGGTGTGCCACTCCAGGTCGGGGAGGCACAGTAAAGCATTTCGGAGCCAGGCCCACGGCGGCGACGAGGACGCGGTATTTTTTGAATGGCAAGGTCAAGGAAGAGGCGGCCCTAACTCCAACCCCTTAGCCCTATAAACCTAACCCTAATCCTAGCCATCACACCCTGACGATATCACAGTTTTCAACCCTATCCCCGCCTACACCTAAAACCTAAGCCGAACCTTCAAACCTAAGCCCAAACTCTTACACTCAACCCTACCCTAGCCCTGAAGCCTTGCCATGAAGCCCCAACTCTAACTCTAACGTTCACCTCAAGCCCTAACCCTACCCCATCCCTAACGCCTAACCTGAAACCTCGCCCTAAACCTAAACCCGAACCCTAAGCCCAAACCCTAACCTGAACCCGAACACTAAACCTCAAACCTAACCCGAGGCCTAACCTTAAACCCAAACCTAGCCTTGATCTTGAAACCCCTACACCAACCCCGCAACCCTAACCGTGATCCTAGCCCTCATCTGACACCCTAACGCTAATGCTAGACCCAAGCCCTTACACTAGCCATCAAACCCTAGCCCTAACTCTAACCCTAACTCCAAGCCCTGACCATACACCTGGACCCGAACCCTGACCCTAACCCTAATTCGAACCCTACCCATAGCTCCAACCCTAAACCCGAACCCCGAACCCGAACCTGAACCCTAAACCCTACCCCTTACTCTGACACCGGAACCCCAACTCTGACCCCGATTCAGATCTTCAGCCCTGAAGCCGTGACCATACCCCCTGGCCCTCACCCTGAGACCCGACCCTATCCGAAACCCTATCCCTAAAACCGAGCCTGACGCCGAACCATAACCCTAAACACGGTTTATACATAACAGTGTATGTACAAAGCTCTCGCCTGCTTCTCCCTGTCCTACCCCTCGGTCCGCCTGGACTTTCCCCCTCGACCCCCCCTGCCTCTCTGTCTCGTCGTTGTTGTCCTCCACCTACTCCTGCTGCTGCTGCTCCTCCTTTTGCTCCTCCGCCTCCCGCCCCTCGAGTACCTCAACCCTCAAGAGAGCCAGCCCGACGCCCGCTGGATCCACATAGGACCCTCATCACTGGAGTCCAATTGCGGAAACCTTATCCTTTATTATCTTCCTTTTCCTCATTCTCCCTCTTCCTTCTTTATCCTTCTCATCCTCCTCCTCTTTCTCCTTCTCCTCTTCTCCCCTTCTCAGATCATTATCCTTCTTATCCTGCTTATCCTTCTTCTCCTTCTCCTTCTCCTTCTCCTCCTTCACCTTCTTCTTCCTCCGACTTCTCATCCTTGCTAAGGCCGACAACCGCATCAACTTATTTTAGATCTCAAAGAAAGGACGTCAAGCACCACCATGCCTAACGCACGCAGGACCGGGAAACGGCAGAAGCCAATCTTGCCAGTGCCGCAACCTCGTCAAGCATGGCTTGAATAACGCGGCCACTGAGGGAATAAAAGAGGAGGAGGAAGCGGAGCAGGAGGACGCCACGGGGGCTCCTGCTCCTGCTGGAACATCTGCATCGAGTGCTGCTGCTGCTGCTGCAGCTCCAGCTGCTGCTGCCGCGGGTGCTGCATGAGCTGCAGGAGCCGCTGCTGCTGCAGCTGGTCCGGCGGCGCCTGCTGCTGCTGCTGCTGCTGCTGCTGCTGGCAGTGCTGCAGCTGCTGCTGCGGCTGGCAGTGCTGCAGCCGCTGCGGGAGGCGCTGCTGCTGCTGCGCGGGCGGCTCCTGGCGGTGCAGCAGCTGCAGCATCCGCTGCTGCTGCTGCTGCAGCCGCTGCTGCCAGTCGGGGCCCGCCACGGCGGGGGCCCGGGCGCACGCTCCCGCAAGGCCTCGGCCTGCAGGCCCGCCCGCGGGAGGCGCCGGGGCCCACCCTGCGGGTCGTCCCGGGGAGGGGAGGGGGGGGGTCGACGCAGGCGAAGGGCGGGGGCGGGCGGGGGAGGAGCGAGGAGACGGGTGAGGTCACGGGATGAGGGGGCCGAAGTCGCAGACGTGTTCGAGCATGCCCGTCTGCATACACATGCATGTGGTGTACATACATACATAGAGGCAGACAGGCAGACATACTGACAGACAGACGGACTCACATACAGACAAACAAACAATACACATACACACATACACACATACACATAGATACATGCACACATACATACAACCATACATACATACACATATATACATACATGCATGCATACATACATACATACATACACACATACACATAGACACATACATTCACACATACATACATACACGCATGCATGCATACATACATACGCATGCATACATACGCACATGCATGCATACATACATACACAGATGTATGCAGGTACACCTAGGTATAAACATACATAGGTATACACATCCAATTGCATGGAAACTTGCACTCGTATAGGTCGGCGTAATGATTTGCATATGCACCTACATGTGAACGTGTAGATGTGCGTACGCATATGTACATCGGTGCCCCCTGGCTATGTTCAATGCTTGCATTCAGGGGTTCGTCCTTCGTTTGAGAATACACGACATGGACTTCTGGCGGCCCAATGCGTACGCGCATGAATCCTATACATTGATGCGTGCATCTCCGACGCTGCGCTTGAAATCTGTTGAAATGCCTAAATGTTGTTCGCTGCCGGGTTGGGTTTCTGTAGTTGCCAAAAGGCGACGCACACTCGACGTGTGTCTGGGCAGAACGCCACCCATTGTTCTTGCCACCCGCAGCGTTTGTCTGCCTCCAGTCGGAACAACAAACTCCAGGCCACTCCAAGAAAGCCAAACGATCGCCCACGACGGTCCAACGCTTTGAGAAAGAGGCGTCAACATACCAAAGGTATCCGCAACACGCTCAAGGAGGCTGCCAGCGAGGCCCGACGAAACTCAACGTTATCAAACACTCAACGGGCATCTGGGTGATTTGTTCCCTCATGCTTCTCTCAGGCGGGCCCGATGTAACATGCGGGCGGGTGTATAGCAAGGGTTTGAACAAAAACACGACCTGCGGAAAACACGGCGAACACGCATGCTGGAAGATACAAGGGGGCTCGGCACGCGACAGTCCCCGAACTTTAGAGGCCTCCTGGATGGGGTCGGAGTAGATGGGGTCGGAGGATCGCGCCGCATCGCCGATACATCGGCGATGCACCAGCGATGCATCGTCGACGTCGGCGATGCATCGGCGACGTCGACGTGCAGCGAATCCAGCACCAGGAGGCCCAAAAAGGGGAAAACGAGCGAAGGGTAGAGGTATGGGTACCCTTTCATCCTCTGAGTGTGTGCATCGCGCCCCACCGCTTCCTGGCTCCAGATCGCTTCGAGAAAACTTCAGATGAAGACTCGGCGCCCCCCAAGACGGGCCAGGCCCCACACAAGGGCCGCCCGTCCCCGAGCTTCCCTGGTCGGACGAGAGGGGGCAGCAAGGCAAGGGCTGAATCAAGTCGCGCAGCTGATGTCGCCAGAGGCCGAGATGCAGTCCTGGAGGCGCAGTAGTTCATAGAGGGGTCGGCGTATGTGGCGTAAACCTATAGAATCCACGTCCGGAAATGACGTGTTGCCGGAGGCAGGTCGCGCAGCGGAGCGGAAACCCTAATGCAATGGATCCCATGTGTCCAATGCTTGCATACTTGCCACGTATTGTATTGTGTTGCATTATTATGTCTCCCCCCTAACCCGCCCGCCCCGGAGTCGCGCCACTTCCGTCGACCCCAAGGTGGAGGGCCCCTTCTGGGGCCCAAAAACTCACAAACACCTATAAGAAATCAACAAATTCGGCCTCTTGGGCCTCTTGGGCCCCCAGAAGGTTTCAAGACGGCCCAAGATGCCCAAGACAGCCCATGCCGGCCTCAAGACGGCCCAAGACGGCCCCAAGAGGGCCCATGAGGCCCCCAAGACGGTCCAACAGGCCCCCAAGAAGACTCCCGAAAGCGCCTCCAGAGGCCAAAATCTTTGATTT